CACATGGTTATGACTGTGTGGAGAAACAGAAAACCTCTGGAGAGAGAAATGGGGGAGAACACACAAGATGGAACCCCAGGCAGCTGGTTCACGTTCACAGTGAGTATCCTGAAAAATGTATGGAATGTGCAGGAGAGAAAAGCCCCCGGGCGAGTTGTGTTGGTCTCATGTAGAGATGCTGGCTTATTTCACTGGGAACAGTTTGTAATCTGTCCCTTTTATTAGCAGGAGTTAACAGTCTTGTTCATCTAAGGGCAGGTTCAGAGAAGCAATGTAAAGGGAACAGGCTGACCATAAGGAGAACGGAGGAGCCTGTCTCAAAGCAAAGATGGAAACTGCTGCCAAGGATATGGAGCAACTCCACATTGGAGGTCTCAGCTTGGCAAGCTGAGTGTGGGAGATGGAGGGTCGAGCCTCTGGAGACGTTGTCTGAGGGGCAAGCAGTGTCTGCACTGGGTAGGATCTCCTGGAAATTTATAAAAGGAAGATCATCACTGACACCTTGATTATGTGGAAGAGAGTTTGACTGGAGAGAAAGAGTATTTAGGAAATCCATATTACGCACACCCATAAGAAATCATGCCAGTGGTCCCTTCTTTAGAAACCCTTTCAAGCTCAGTAGAAGGCCGGAAAAGAACAGGAAAAGGTATGTCCTCCAGCCTAAATTCCCTGTTGTCTGTCCTCTCTCCCATCGCTTCTTTTCATCCTTAGATTCCTCATGGGATAAAATATGACAGGACATGGCTAATGAACTCAATCCAGAGACATTGCAGTGTCCCCTTCACTCCAGTGGACGTAAGAGAGGATGCCGAAGCCAGACGCGTGGGCACAGGGAAGGGGGAGAGAGAGACCTTGTTCAGCAGTGAGTGCTGGCTTCTGAAACTATTGCTGTTGCATTCAATCCCTGTAGTTCCACCTTGTGAAAAATGTGGCTCAATTCTTTGTCCAGGAAGCTAGCACTGCCTGTGCATTGTTGGATGTCAGCTACAAGATTCGTGACGAGGAGAGCCGAAAGGTGTGTGTTGAGGGCGTTACGTGTACCTCATCCTGAGGAAGGAGTAGAGGCCAGGGGCTGGTTGTCTTCTTTGGAACTAGAGTTCCTGGTGCTTACCCCACCTCTTCTTGCTGTAGATACCTGTCTTTGTCAGCCTCTCCGCTGTTCCCTACTCTGTGCAGTATAAGTTGAAGTCAGGAGAAATGGAGCAGCTAGAGGTAATGCAGACACAAGGCGTGTTGTGAGCCAGCGCTCAAACCCACCTCTCCTTCCTCCAGTCCCCAGTCCCCTTCGCCCCTGATTTCCCTGCCACCACCACAGCCTCAGAGCAGCTCTCTCCATCTCTCACTCTGCAGCTGACCTTGATCAAACGATTTGATGTCTCCAAGCAAGCTCTTGACCTGCAGAGGCTCTGCGTTGACCCAGGTACAGCTGACAGCAGTAATTCTAGAGCGTGCGAGGGCAGAGTGGTCTTCCTGGAGGGAGACTTAGGGATGGTAACGTGGGGAGGGTCTGGTGCTGGCCGCACACCCCACTCACCCATCTGATTCCCTCCCCTCTCCTTCCTGAAGACTTGGTGGGCTAGAAGCTGCATGGCTGCCACCCTGCAGGTCATCGAAAAGAATTTCCCTGAGGTGAGGCTGTAGGCCCAGTGCTGGTATTAGGATAGGGGGTGGAAGAGATGGGGAGGAGGGCAGATTTGTCTCCAAGGTCCTAGATAGTACCCTTCACTCTGCCTCTTCTTGCCCCAAAGCTGTTGTCCTTGAACTTGAGCAGCAACAAACTGTACCAGCTGGATGGCCTGTCTGACATTATACAGATGGCCCCCACGGTCAAGATCCTGAACCTCTCCAACAAAGAGGTGAAAAGAGGAAGCCAGGTCAAAGTTGGGTTGAGAGTGGGGGGGGGTGCGTGTTAATGGCCATCAGAGTGATGACAGGAGGCAGGTGAAGGTACCTGTGTGGGAGGGAGATGTCTGGGGGTGCAGGGATCTGGATGTCCCTTTTTCCCTGGGATTCCTTTTCCCACTTCCACCCCATATTTCTCAGCTGACGTCTGTGTGGGAGTTGAGCAAGATGCAAGGGCTGAAGCTTGAAGAGCTGTGGCTGCAAGGGAACCCATTGTGTGACACCATCCCAGACCAGTCCACCTATGTAAGGTCAGTGTGAACATCCTGTCACCCTTCTTGGTCACCTTTACCCATGGGAGCCTAGAATATCTGTGACAGTGCCCCTTTGCCAAAGGTGGCAGCCCTGGTCTTCTGGGAGGATCACAGGCCCCACCTTCTGCTCTCTCTGTGCCTATCACTGGTGAGGAGATTCCTTCCCCTGACCTGCTCACCTCTGCAGGCGCTCTGGGGTCTGTTTCCAGCTCTCTGTGCCCAGCTATATTCCAGCAAGGCCTCCCAAGAGTGTGCCCCAGGAAGCAGGGCTTCTCCTCACCAGGACCAGGAGCAACCAGCCTTGATCCAGATGCTGGCGCCCTGGACTGAGAAGGGTCCTCCTGTCCAGGGCCTCTTGCTGAGAGAAGCCTTCCTTCTTCGTGCTGAGATGGGGTTTGCCTCCCCCGTTCTGAGGGGGGCGCTCTTCCCCTTCCTCCAAAGGGATCGCCCCTCCTCTCCCAGGTTGACATGGGGGCTTTCCTGCGCCATGCTGAGGGCTGAGGCCATGGGTGGCTGCTGTCATGACATCCATTCTGCTGGCCCAGTGCCAGGAGCTGGACCCTCCTTGGGAAAAAGCACGGCTCCCTGAGTCAAGGGGCCAGACGTGGGCCCCCGCCAGTGATCACAGGGCTTCCTGAGGCAGGAGTGGAAGGCAGAGGGCAGAGGTGGTAGAGGAGACAGAAGGACCGGCCTCTCAGGGGCACTTCCAATCCCTCCCTGCACACATCACATCATCCCGCCTGGTCCTTCACAGGAGCCCTGGGCATCCTGAGACAGGTATGATTCCTCAGATAAAGAAGCAACTCAGACAGGTGCAGGGGTCATTGGGAGAGAAGACGGTGATCATCAGAGGGGGCCACGGATCCTCAGCCCCATACTGAGCTGGGACATGACCCTTTCCTCCTTCTGAGGAAGATCTGCCCCCGTGGCTGCTCGGTTTCCCATGCCCAAGTCTGGCTGAGCTCACACAGGTGACAGAGTTTCAGCCAGAATCCAGTGGGCCCACAGCCCAACATTTGCATATTTTAAATTCATACCTGGTGTGTCTGGGGCAGGTGAAGAGCTGCAACAGGTGTGCCGTTTCCCCTTTCTTCTCTCTTCTTCTCTGACCCCGACCACAGGAGAGCTTCTTTCTTTTCCCTTTGTTTTCTCCCTCTCCCCAGTCTCTGTGCTCCTATGTCTCTCTCATCTCTCCCTTCCTACCTTCACTCCCTTTCTGTCTTCATCCCCTCCATCTCCCTCCCTGAGCCCCACCTCACTCACCTCGCTGGCCCAGCATCCTGGGCCATCCCTGGGGGGTGTCGGGGTCTTGCCAGAGTGCTGGGCCCCCAGTGAGGTAGCAGAGCCCCGGGCTCCCACGCCATCCCCTCTTCTCCCCACAGCCTTCCCTGGGGCCCTGGAGGAAGGAAGGGAGGAGAAGGAAGCCCTGCAGCATGGGTTTGAAATGCTGGTCCCTGTGGCACTGGAGAAGGGAGTCCGAGTAGTCTGGGTGGGAGCTACCCAGGCGAAGCAGAGGAAGGGAGGGAGGGAAGGAATATTACAGTGAAGGTACTGAGAGAGATGAGGAGACAGTGCCTTTCAGACAGTAAGATGACAGATGCTCAGTGCTCAACAGGCAAGTGGACTGAAAACCCTTAAAATCAGGAGCAGAGGTGGGCAAAGGGTGCTGCTGGATTGGCCAGAACACACTGATCTCTGTTGATGGTATTACTGTTTTAACTCAAAAGAAGCATTGCAAACTTGAACTATCAACCACCTCTTCTCAATTTTTGGTTTCGGACAGGGCCATCAGAGAATGTCTCCCGAAGTTGTTACGCCTGGTAAGTGCCTCCGTAAATCATTGTCTCTTACAAATGCCGGTGGCCTCTGCACCTGCTCTCAAGCCCTTTGGGTCTTGCCTAGATCACATATTAGTATCAGAACCTTAACCATTTTGGGGGACATGGACTCCTGAAAATGACATGGATGTACTTGCTGGAAAAATACCCATAAACACACACACGCACACACACAAGTTGAATATAACACTAGAGACTTCCAGTACCTCCTGATGAAAACATCCACTGTAAGCTTTCCCATGGAATATCCAGGGCCCTTTCACACCTGACCTCTGACCCTCACCCTCCTGGGCCCATCCTTTTCCCGGATCATCCAGGGTCACTCCCCTGGTCTCCACTCCTGACTTCCTCTTCCCTTCTCCAGGATGGTCAGGAGTTAACGTCACCAGTGACCGTTGACGTTGACACTCCCTACATGGTAAAGCCCTGCAAGGTGAGGAATAGGATCAAACAACATTTGGGGTGTTGCAGGGAGGCTTTATCTACTGCATAGTCTCAAGTGCCATTTGATTCCAGCGCAGCTTCCTTGGATCTGATGAGCTGAAGAGCCTAGTCCTACAAATCCTGCAGCAGTAAGTACCTCTGGGAAGCTGAGCAAGGCTGTCGTCCTCTTCCTCATCCTGCTGCTCCTCGATTCTTCCCCTGATAGTGCCATCTGTCGGATAAGGCTGTCCTCTCTGGACAGGCAGAAGAGTGTCCTTTCTGAGGCTTGTGGGACTGGTCCCTTCGGCCAGGTTGGCACTTTGCCTGCCCTACCATGCTGTTAGCCTAAGACATGGAAAGTGGTAAGTGGACCACAGATGTGTCTGCAAACTTGTACTTTTGTCCCTCTTTGCAGAATACAGTGATGGTGGTAGACCACCTCGAGGAAGAAAGAAAGGTTGGAGTTCTTTCCCAGGTAATTCTGGTGAGAGGAGCCCTCATTATGAACTTGTGCGCGTATTTCAAGGACCGCAGGAATATGAAGAAGCTCAAGGACCCCTGTGAGCGTGTGATGGGAAGGCTGGGTGGGAAAGGGCGGTGAAGGGGTCAATCACAGGGCCCAGGGCCTGGCAGCCCCTGACCTTCCCTCGCTTCCCCTCCCCTCACAGACTTGCGGGTCCAGCTGCTGAAGCACACAAAACATGTCATTGTGCACACCCTCTGTGTGTTGCCCAAGACTCAGCATGACTTCAGCTCCTTCGTGGTGGACACGTGGTTCCAGACGGTGAGCGCCTGCTTCCTCCCTCGGGCGGACACGTGAAGCCGCAGGTGGGTGGGAGGTGGAGGTAGTAACTGGGCGCCTGGGCTCTTCCCTTTCAGCAAATGATGCTCTGCTTCTCCGTCTGCGGGGTGTTCAAGGCAGGTGAGTGTGCGTAGACCCCCATCGCAGATGACCCACTGCTGCCTCCCCCTGGCCAGGCTCACACCCAGAACCACCCAGCTTCCGTGACCCCTTCCCTTCCCTTCGCTTTCTTTCCCCTTCTCTTCCCTTCCCTCCCCTTCCGTTCCCTTCCCTTCCATCCCCGTCTGTTCCCTTCCAATCCCTCCCCTCTCCTCCCTTCCCCTCCCATCCCCTCTTCTCGCCTCCCCTTCCCCACTGTGTTCTCCTGCCCTCAAGCTTCCCACAGACTACCCAGGTCTGAGCTGTGTCCATGCCTGTCTGCCCTGCACACCCTGGGCATTGGGGAAACAGGCTGTGGATTTTGGTGGCTGTCATCCCAGATCCTTACTCTGAGAACTTGGGCCATTACTGAACCTCTCAGTTTCCTCGTTTGCAAAATGGGGTAGTAGTATCCACCTCTTGGGCGGCTGTGAAAAATGCATCCCGTGAACTTGTGTAGTGGTCGTCAGGGACCATGTCACTGGGCACAGATTGCTCCAACAGTTGCACTCCCCATATCCAACACCTTGGCCCCTGTGAACAACTGCCCTCTCAGCATGAGTGTCCAGTCACACCCTGACTGCGGACCGCTGTGTGAGCGTGTACAGCACATGCAGCTGTAAGCGGTACTCTTGTTTGCCGTTGAAGTGGAAGGAAGTTCTCAAGGCTGTGTGCGTTCCTTCACCTGGACCTTCATCGCTAACCCTGCCGGCTACTGCAGGTGAGAGCCCTGTTGTGGGCGGGAATGCCCATCCCCGCCTGGGCTCAGGGGCATGGGAATGTGGTGGAGCAGACCTTAGGTTTACTCAGTACAGTGGAAAGCCAGCAGGGAGATCCCAGGAGCAGTCTAGCCTAGTGGTTAGGAAGAGTATGGGCCTGGAATCGGCCTACGCATTCACTCCTTGACCCAACACTCACTCGCTGTGTGACCTTGGTCAAATCACATGACCTCTGTGTGACTCAGTGTCTTCTTCCGAGAATGGGGATCAGACTGTCCACCCCTTGCACTGTGGTAAAGGGTAAATGCGAAATTGCCCCTGGTTTGGGGATAAACCTATAAATCAAGTGAAGGTGGTAGACAGTCTCTCCAAAGGTGGGCTCTGTGGTGACGGGCAGAGGTACCAGTCAAGGAACCTGGGAGACAGACACAGGAGGGATGATCCTTGTTTATCTTTATATTAAAGAGTAACATTGCACATTGTATGTTGTGTGTCTTGGATTGCTCTTCCCCTGACCCAACCGTGAGTTAGTGGGGCCAGGACCAAAAGGTCCCATCTCCCACATCATCCCTGGCAGTCTCTAGCATTTATATCCGACCTACACAGTGCTTGAAAATTATAGAGTAAGGACTCCATTCCTGGACAACCCTAAAATCCAAGCTTTGCCTCCTGATAACCTTCTCTCCACCACTTCAGTACTCACAGGTTGTGACCGTTCTGATGTTCACTTCTATAAACAAATATAAGGTATTTAGCAAGTAAAGTACCATATTTACTCCAATAATTATGGATTTCTTAATCACTTAACAGGTCTAAAACTGTGTTAACATTTTTATTAGGTTCTTAGGTTCTGTACCTAAGACTATTTTCCCCACAACTCCTGTGTTGTTTTTTTAACTATTTTATTTTGAAATAATTATTGATTTACCAAAAGTTGCAAAAAAATGTGTAGAGAGGTCATGTATACCCATCACTCACCTTCTCCTAATGATAACACCTTGTATTACTTTAGTACAGTCTCAAAACTAAGAAATGGACATTGGTACAATCCACTGAGCTTACCACAATTTCGCCATTTTACATGCACTCATTTGTGTGTTAGAACACTTGTGCATAATACTTATATATATAATTCCATGCACTTTTACCAGCAGTGTAGGTGTTCTATCACCACAAACAAGATCAAAAACTGTTTCATCACCACACATTTCCCTCATGTTAGCCTTTATAGCCACACCCAAATTCTTCCTGATCCCACATCCCTAAACTCTGTCAAACACTATTATAATTTACTAAATGTCATAGAAATGGAATCATATAGTACACTACCTTTAGGAATGGATTTCTTTCACTCACCGTAACTCTCCTGAGATCCATCCAAGTTGTAAAGTGTGTCTATAGTCTGTTCCTTTTTATTCCTCCATAGGATAACACGGTGTGAATGTACCACACTTTGTTTAGCCATTCCCCCATTGAAAGACATCTGGGCTATTTCCACTTTTTAACTATTGCGAGTAAAACTGTGATGAACTTCATGTAAAGGTTTTTTGTGTAAACGTAAATTTTCATTTCTCTGGATAAATTGCCCAGAGTGCAACTGCTGTATCATATGGTAACTGCATATGTTTCGTTTTGAAAAACCTGCCAAATTGTTTTCCAGACGGACTGTACCATTTTACATTCCCTTTGGCAATGTATGAGTGACTCAGTTTCTCCAGTGTTGCCTGCATTTGGTTTTGTCCCTGTTTTGTTCAGCCATTCTGATAGGTGGGTTTAACATTTCATTGTGCTTTTATTTGCATTTGATTGTTGGCTAAGAATGTCGAATAGCTTTTCCTAAGCCTATTTGCCCTCTGTTCATGTCTTTCATCCATTTTTTAATTGGATAAAGGGGCAAGGAGTTACCTCTAGAGAGCTGCCCTGGCTCTGGCTAACAGGCAGAGTAAGAGAATGTGAGGCCCCTCGAGACTCACTTTTCTTGACAGGGAGGGCAGAAGTGGGGCTGAAGCTATTAAATGTTCCTCAAATTAGGACTGAACTTGGATATGGAACAGGATTAAGAGGTGGGGGCATCTCTGGGTCCATCTGTGGAGATCTGGATAGTGCAGAAAAAGAAGGGGGATATGGGGTAGAGGACAAACAGTGGAAGGAGGGAGATACGGTGGGGATGTCTTCTAAATGATGCTAGATTCATCACTCTCAGCCTGCTCAATGGAGTGCAAAAAACTATTTTCCTAGATGTGTGGTTTTCAACTGTGGATAACCATTAGGATCCTCTCAAATGCTCAGATTCAACCAACTGAATCAGAGCCTCTAGGGATAAGCCCAGTCATCAGTATCTTTAAGGTTCACCTCAGTTGATTCTAATGAGCTGTCAAAATTGAAAACCTTATCTGATGGTGTATTAGTTTGCTATGGCTGCCATAACAAGACACCACAGGCTGAGTAGCTTAAACAACAGAAATTTATTTCTCACAGTTTTAAAGGTTGGAAGTCCGAGATCCAGGTGTCCACAGGTTTGGTTTCTTCTGAGGCCTCTCTCCTTGGCTTGCAAATGGCCTCCTTCTTACTCCTTCTTCACATGGTTGTCCCTCTGTGCATACACACCCTGGTATCTCTTTATGTGTCCTAAACTCCTCTTATAAGGAGAACAATCATACTGGATTAGTGTCTACCCTAACGGCCTCATTTTAATTTAATCACCTCTTTAAAGGCCCTATCTTCAAACACAGTCACATTCTGAGGTACTGGGGGTTAAAGCATCAATATATGAATTTGGGTAGGACACAGTTCAGTCCACCACAGATGGTATGAGAAATACCTTGGTCTGAGAAATTCATCTCCCTTTTAGCTACCTTCCTGGAAGTACTATACAACACTTCTGCCTTCACCTAAATAGGTAGAAGTTGGTCATGTGACCACTCTTGGCTGCAAAGGAGGCTATCAATGTGGTCTTTTCCTGGAAACATTACTGTCCCAAATAAATTTGGGATTCTTTTATTAAGCAAGAAGGAGAATTGGTATAGAACATATGCTACACTTTCATACCCAAGGCAGCTAGAAGCACTACCTCAATAATCATGTCCTTCCTACCCAGTTTTCCAACCACAGTTTTCATGGGTTCAAGCAAAACTGCTGCTTCAGAGACACCTGAGCTCACTCTCCCGACCTCCCAAATCCATTGTCCCAGACTATGCCTGAGTCCTTACAACTTAGCATGCTTAATCTATGTCATTCACTGACTCAATCATTCATTCAACAAATATGTATTGGTTACCAGTGATATGTGAGTCACTGTGATAGGCACTGGAGATAAATTAGAGAACCTGACATACAGGGTCATGGTTCTCATGGAACTCATATTCTACAGGGGTTGATACACTCAAGATTTGAGACCCATTAAGAAAATAATATGTGAAAATGTGACAGAGAATGACTAGGGTGTGGAAGGCAAGGAAGGATTTTCTGATGACGTAACTTAGATTTAATATTCAAATAACAAGAAGTACACCGTCAGCAGTAGGAACATATAGGAGCTGAGCCCTCAAGGCAGAAGGAAGAGCAACACGAAAGGCCCTAATATTTGGGCAAGCTTGGCAGTTTTAAGGAACAGCTTGTATGCCAGTGTGTATTGGGAGGACAGTGTTAGAAAATGAGGTGAGAATGGCTAGGAGGGGCCCAATAACAGAAGGTCCTATGGGCCATGGTAAGGACTCTGGGTTTTGTTCTTATTATGATGGAGCCATTGGGCGCTTTCTGGAAGGAAGGGAATTATTATTATAATCTACTTTATTTTTATTATTTTTATTTTTTTTTGCTGTACACGGGCCTTTCACTGTTGTGGCCTCTCCCTTTGCGGAGCACAGGCTCCGGACGCACAGGCTCAGCGGCCATGGCTCACGGGCCCAGCCGCTGTGCGGAATGTGGGATCTTCCCGGACCGGGGCACGAACCAGTGTCCCCTGCATCGGCAGGCGGACTCTCACCCACTGTGCCACCAGGGAAGCCCCTATAATCTACTTTATTAAAGCTCATTCCAAATGTTCCTTGGAGGACAGACTGAAATAGAGCAACGATAAGATCAAGAGACAAGATTAGGAGGCTACTACACACAGGACAGTGAGAGGTTACAGTCTCGTAGACCACAGTCATAGCAATGGAAGGGGTGAGATGGGTTTTGAAATGAGATGTATCTTGGAAGTACTGAACTTGTTGATGAAGTGCACGTTTGTGGTAATGATAGAGAGGAATTAAGTGTGTCTCTTGGAATGTGGATTTTTGCAGCTGGGTTAGTGCGGTTTTCTTCCATGGGGAAATGAATGGAGGACCAGCTTCAGTGCAATGCCAGGAAACTGACCGTTCTGTTTTGACCATGTCGTTTGTGGAGCCTATGAAAAATCTGGGTGGGGAGCATGTGGTTGGATGTATAAGTCAGGAGATCCTGAGAATATTCTTGGCTGTGGCAAAAAAAAAATAAACCCCAAGCAAACAAAAAAAACAAGCATGCAACAAACAAACGAAAAACCCAACTGTACAGTTAAATCTGAAAATACAGGTTGATTCCACATATGAGCATGGCACTGCTCTAGATTCTAGAAGGGATACAAAGACACATTAAAAACCAACTTCACTGAGCTATAATTTATGTTCAACATAAGGTATCCTTTTTTTTTTTTTTTTGGCTGTGCTGTGCGGCTTGCAGGATCTTAGATCCCCAACCGGGGATCGAAGCTGGGGTGCCAGGGGCTGCTAACTGTCAGAGAAGAAAGATATATGTGTGGAATATTACTGTCATTCATCCACTTGCTCATTCATTCATGCACCTAGTGCATGTCAAGCTTAGTGCTAAGAAGGGAAGATAGGACCATGAAAGAATTCAGACAATGTCTCTGTCTTCCTGAAGATTAGGAGTCGAAATAGAGAACTGCAAGTGGCTCTGGTTGCTAAATAGTAAGGGAGGTATTTAGTGAGATAATTGGGCCCCCAAAACGTCTAACCCCAGT